GTGGCGGTGGCAGGGCCGGGGCCGCCCCCGGGGCGGGCCGGGCGGGGGCGGTGCCGACACCGCCTACAAAACGCGGTGCGCGGCCAACGCCGAGCTTGAAGCTTTCGGCAGCGGCGGCCGTGAGYAGCGAGCCGGGCGTCGAGAGGCGCTCGGCCCCTCCACGGCGGAGCGTCCCCGCCGCCCGCGGCGCATAAGGCCAAGGCTTTCCGACTTCAGCTACAGTGCTAGCTAAGTCGGGGAAGGCAACACGGAGTGAAGCCGCGCGTCCCCCCTTCTCTCGGCACCGGGCAGCGGCGGAGCGGGCCGGCATGGCGCGGGCAGCGGAGCCGGAGGGCCGGCGGCGCGGCGGTCAGTGCGGACGGGCCGCCTCCAGAGCGGCTCCCGGGCGCGGAGCGGGCGCGGGTGACCGGGCGGGGCTGCCCGCGGGTGGGGGGCACCAAATCGTGGCGTGTCCCGGTGGCGCCTCTGCTCTCACAACGGTGTCCGCGGCACCGAACTGTGTCCGGTGTACCGAAATGCGATGGATGTGCCCGTATCTGCTTTAGCATCTGTTTCTTRTTTCTCATTTAGGATCTGTGATTGCCTATTTTACGTCTGCAAAGTTTCTTCTTTATCTTGGACATGCACTGTCCACTTGGGTAAGTAAACTACTGCCCTGGTAGAARTAGGTTGTTATTCTGGCGATGATTTACCTGGGCTTTACAGATGCTTTCCAAAAGTCATCGCAAACTAGTCCTCCACCACAAAGRCAGAGGTTTTGTTACAACACCTTGCTGTTAAAAGTCTTTATAATCTTCACAGGGTATGTTGCAATAGGTTCAGTTTTAGTGCAGAGTAGTGCAGTACTCAAGTTTTGGAAGGTCTGTTTCTGTACCTTTTAAAGTTTTTAAAGAACTTCAGAACCAGTGAGACTGCTTATAGAGAAGCAGAATGAGAGAGTCCATTACACCATATCTAAAGGACTTATGTACTTACTAATAGGAGACGCTTAGTGTTTACAATAGACCCATTACTGCCACTCGATAGGTAACTTGTTGAAAGCATCAGGAGTTGTCCTCTGTATAAAGATTTGTCTCCTGAAATGCTTTCCTTCTGTGCTAATGTAACTTACTATACCAGATTTCAYTCACTTGAAGATACCAAAGAAGCTACCTTAAAATATACACTAAAAAGAGGTAATCTGGTACTGTACCACAGAATAAAGTTAAGAATATATGTGTATCATAATGCAATCTTGMATTGTCTCCATACAATGGCTTGGTTCAACATTAAGTGGAAAGTTTGCCCCCATTTTCCTTGCTTTGTGTTTTGGTCCTGCTTTTAGACTTGTTTGATGTATGTRTTGAACAAATGGCTGATCTACAGTTACAACACTGCATGCCTGACTCTGGCAGCTTCTTGCTTTCACTAACCTGAAAGGTCATACTGATGTTTCTCTTAGTGAAAGGCTTTCAATGGTATCATGTTTGTTAAAGTGCAATATTTTGGCAGTTATTAATATTGAAGGAACTGTTTTGCTCACTGCTTTTTAGAGGTCAGGGTTGTTGCCTGCAACAGTTTTTGTCACTCGTGCCCACAAAGTGCCTCACTGGCAATTTGACCAGCCCTGCTTACTCCTCTCTGACCAGTGCTTCGCAGCTCTTGGTGGGATTGCTCTCAGAGTCTGTGAGTAAACATGACAAAGCAGAGTTAGAAAACAGTGTTGTACACAATAATAAAACCTTAGACCACAGGATGTCTATTCATGTGYTTAGCAATATTAATGGTATACTCCTGGTAATATCCTGGTGAGTTTTGTGCTGAAAATCTTGACTCAAGAAAACCCTAACCAAATCTGTTCGAACAGCAGAAGTTACAACAGCTTGTTTTGGCAGAACTGGGTACAGGACTTCACTTTTGTATTTCCTAAGCTTTGGTGTTTCTGAGGTCTGAAGGTTTTTGCTAACAGGAGCAGTAAACAAGTACCTGAATCTTCAGAACTCCAGGTAATAGATTGTTTTAGAACGGCTCTGTCCACAATACAAAACCTTAGAGGAATGGGGTTTTGCTGTAACTGAGAGAGCTAATCAGGTTTCTATGTTACTAGGCCATTCCGAAATGCAAAGAGAAGCTATAAATGATTAAACATGTCACATCTCCAGAAATGTTCATGCTTGARCCAAGTCTAGACTCTGTTGGGCTCTTGCTTAGTAAAATATTTGAATGTATGCCTGGCCTCAGTGATCTTAGTAGATTGGACAGTAGTGGTGAGCTGCAGCACCTTGTGCTGGACTCAGACCTTATGGTGTTGCTGTCTATTTGTCAGCATTAAAAAAAGAAGAGCATGGAACTGGGTTCACCTGGTTGGTTCCAGGCCTAATGTTTCTCTTGAGATCAGTTGATTGCAACTTCCCAGCCTTATCTGTGCCCCTCAGGAGGCCTATCAGTCGCTGGTAGCCTGGCTACTGCTGAACTTGTTGGCTTCGGTTCTGAGGTGGGATTGTATGTGTCCAATTTAAGGTGATTGTAAGGGTAATTACAATTGCAGAAAGGGAGGAACTGTTTTTAAAAGGATAGTGATGCTAAACAGCTGTAACTGTTTAAAAGTTTTTAAATATCCACGTTTTGAGACATTTTAAGGTGGGAATAAGTATTTGTAATCAAGGATCTGCCTGTTTCTGAAGACAATGTTTGTTTAAATTTCAGYAGATCTCAGTTTGTAATTATGTACCTGCTATAAAGCGCTGCAATTCACTGATAMTGTTCTTCTCCTTTATCTTTGCCTATTCATTATGGTTTTTAATCCTTGAAAGAAAATCATGCTTCCAGGTTGTAACAGCTGTGTACCCAAAATTTATCTGTGGGTTGGCCTGATCTGAYTACTCTGGATATGTGTTGGATGAAGTTGAACAATGTTCACAGGCTCTTAAATAAACTTTACAGCAAAATCATGATCTCTCTGGAGTCAAATGAACCTTTCCATGAGTTTGAATTGAGATTCGGTTTTTCACTTTCACYACTGACAGTAGTGACTGGCACTGACTTTTAAGAACTGACGTGCTTAGATTTTTAAAAACTCCTTTTTCATCTTGCAAAATCCTGAAACATCTCTGCATAAAGAAAAAACCCCAAACTTAATATGAAAGTATATTTTTGCCTCATTTTCTATCGTAATAAACAGTTATCCACGTTAATTCACTTGCATGTATTTTGAGTGAAATTCTGTAAAGAAGTACCTCAAGTCATAGCAAATTTAAGTGAAACCTGGACTTGGGAAATTATATGACATTGCTGCAATATTTTCTATATATTTCTACTAACTAACCATGGAATACAACTGGAATATATTTACAGAAGACTTYACGTGTCTCTTGAGTGAAAACTGACTTATTATATATGAGAGGAGACATAAAAGATGATAATGCTTATAACAGGATTTGTGGTTGGTTTTGGTTAAAAAAGTGTGCAAAATATGTAGCATTTTTCTTTGAACAGATGACATTTTTCTTTCCACAACTGGAATATAACTTTTTTTCAGCCTATGGTTAATGAAAAAAAATACAAAAGTGTACACATTACAGTGTAAATAAATAGAGGACTAAAATGTCCTTTTGGGAGCTCAAATAACAGTAAAAGGCAAATGCTTTTTATGTCTGTACTAGCCTGAAGACTAATCACACTTTGCAATTATTTTTACCCTCCAAATAGTATGCTTTTTATGTATCTCTTGATTGCTGTATTACATGATAAGTCAGATTTGTTAGGCTTTGATTTTTAAAAGTACTTTAATGTTACACTTCCCCCAGTCCTTCCAAATATTTGAGATCCTTAGAAATTTGTACTCTTTGCTGTATCACGTAGAAATTGTTTATTTAAGATATGGCAGCAGAAGAAAAGCTGTTTGGTTTGTAGAAAAATAATGTTAGGGACCTTTATTAAACAACCTTGTTTCCCTAGAAAGGTATGAATGGTTTCAATTCATCTGCTTTGGTACTGATTACATAAAGATTTTCTGTCATGCATTTCTTGCAATATGTATAAAAACAAAGTGAGATCTGGCAGTAGAAAAAGCTCCATATATTTATTAGAAAACCTTAAAATGTTTTGAATGGTATGAAAATTACTTCACTTGAATGTGTTTAGCAATTTGGGCTTTCTTCTTATACCTGTAGCAAATGGTATCATTACATGAACGTGTTGTATTCTAAGCACTAGGTTAAATTAGCAATAGGCTAAATAGGCTGAACTAGCAACGAATTTACAGCAGGTTAAATGAACTCTGCTGTTCTACCTCCTCTGAGTAATATGCCAGTGCTTAGCACTAAAGGAGCTGAAGTCCATTGACTTCAGAAACTTCAGTTAACATTTACCTATATCTATCCTGGATTGTATGATGACTTGTTTGACTCACTCTTGTGTTACAAAGCAGCACTTAAGCTTTGATCATCTAAGAGCAAACTGCTGTCTTGAAGTTAAATAGTGCTTGCTAAATCTATTGTTAATATTTGATCTGTGCTGGAGAATGAATTTGTATAAGCTTTTAGAGGCTTGTTAGATGTGGCTGGTGACAGACTTTGTCCGGTAATATAATAATAGAAAATATCTGGGATTTTTTGGTTTGTAGTGTTACAGGCTGTAGTGGTCTACTTGATAAGGATAGATGATCCCAGTGATACTGGGATAAAATCAATGGTGACAGGATGTAGCAGTCAAAAACCTCCTAAAAAACCAACAACCACAAAAACCCCCACACTACCTCTGTATGTGTAACCTTTATTTTAGTACAGATTTATGCCAGGGCTTTAGAAGCACATAGGTTCAYTATTTTACTAAAGTGCAACCAGTAATGTTGTGTATGTTCTCTTGCTCTTAAAGGGAGATCGTATGTGGCATTTTGCTGTGTCTGTATTCCTGGTTGAACTTTATGGAAACAGCTTACTCCTGACTGCCGTCTATGGCCTGGTTGTGGCGGGATCAGTTCTTCTCCTGGGAGCCCTTATTGGAGACTGGGTGGACAAGAACTCCAGGCTCAAAGGTTAGATGCCTRGAGCAGCTTATTGACTTAAGGGTGGATCAAATTCATCTTAAAAAGGTGAAGCTGACAGAGAATTCCTCAAGTCAAATATGAGAATGGGGCTTGCTCAGGCCCTTTAAGAAGGGCAGAGTGGTTTTAGAGTGGTAATAGTTATACAGATACTCTCAAAGACAAGAGGAAACAAWTTTAAGTCAGATAGGTCTGTTACTCATGCTAAACCCATATGACCCATAGAGATGTATGCAAACACAAAAGGTAAAGAATATGTAGCTTTAAGGACTCTGGACCAAGTTCTTTTTACATTATAACACTGACATACACTTGTATATAAACATTTATATAAACATCTTTGACTTAAGTTAAACACACTGCATTTACATTATGCATATTGTAACTACATATTGTCTAGTCTGTTTCATAAATAAAATGGGATCAAGTTCTTCAAAAGAATTTCAAAATAGCATCTCTTCCATGGTAGGTTGATTTTCAAAAATTTTCAAAATAGCATCTCTTCCATGGTAGGTTGAAGATGAATTTTAGAGGCTTGAGCTAGGTTTTTACTACTTGAAACATACTGTCAGCATTTAAATAGGGACTTAGTTTGAGAGAAGACCTGCTTTGACTGTAAATCAAGAGCTGCACAGTTACATTAGGCATTAGTTTCTCTAAGACAGTGGCAGATTTAGAATTTAATATGAATCTGTTCAGCAGCAGTATCTATTCTGCCATTTTGGGGGAGACTAGGAAAACAAAGTTACTTTAAAAATCTGGCATGTCGCTTAATTATGTCCTCATGGTTATAATTATAGGCTATAGTTAGCTCATTCTTATGTTCATAACTATTGTTCTCTGGTTTGAAACAGTGGCCCGGACATCCTTGGTTGTGCAGAATTCATCTGTCATCCTGTGTGGTGTTATCCTGATGATTATCTTCTTGTTCAAGACACAGCTCTTGACATTATACCATGGATGGCTTCTTGTGAGTGCTTGAACTTGTCAATAGGAGATTAATTTACAAAGAAACCTTGGGGAGCCTGGGAGATGGATGAATTTTTATCTTCTCTAATCTGTGTTGACATTTCTGGGAGCTAAATATGGCAAATGAAAATGCCAGGTAAACAGAGATTATTGTTTTCTGCCAGGAATTGTATACTTAGTGTTGTTTTGTGTGGAGAATAATGCTAAAATGTATGGAATGAAATATAAAATATGTCTCTGCTTGTGTAGAAAGTGGAGATCTCCATAAGTTTTCTCACATTGTAACTCTTTCCCCTCATCTCTCTAGACATTGTGCTATATCCTGGTTATCACAATAGCAAATATTGCCAATTTGGCCAGCACTGCCACAGCGATCACAATTCAGAGGGACTGGATTGTTGTGGTTGCAGGGGAAGACAGAAGCAAACTGGCAGGTGAAATATGTTGCCTTTTTAATACCTTGCATTTCTTACTTTCCATGCTTGATTTTTTTTTTTTTTTTTTAAGAATAGAGTTTTACAGGGATCAATGCATCTTTGAGTTCCAGATATCATAAGAAATTGTAGTGTAAAAAGGCAGCCTTTATTTTGGTCTTCCTTGCTCTGGACTATAGCTACTGAGATCACAGATTATTGTTTTGATTACAATTCAGTTAGGCATTCCCAAACTTGTTTTGCCCTCCTCTTAGTCCTGCTGCAGCTCTGGTAGGGAAAACTAGTTTTGCTGAACAAGCCAAGTGTTGCAATACTTTATTTTTAGGTCCCTGGAATGAAACAGAGAACTCTTGCGTAACTGGGCTCCTCTCATAGGGATCAAAGAAAGAGATGCATGAGAATGAAGTCCAGAACAGTTAAGTAGATATGTTAGGAAATTGCCAGTAGGTAATGCTGTGCATGCAGACACATTTGAAACATTGCATTTCTCTAGCATTAGATGGCTAACTCAGAGCTGTGAACTGTTTCCTTCAGTTCGAGTTGGATGCTCTGCTTTCCTTTGACACCTGATGCTTTTGATCATGGACTACAGACTAAATCAACTTTTGTCTAGAAAATATTTTTGTTTACTTCTCCCCCTGTGCCCTGAACTTGTATAGTGACAYTGGTACTACTAACAGAGAGAATTCATTCCCATTCAAATTCTACTGCAGTTTGGTAGTCGTGACACTACTTGGATGTGAGAGACTGGGAATCTCACCAAGGATGCAGAAGGCAAATTACAACAAAAGATGTACGATAGATCTTTGGGTCTGCTACTCCTCTGATTGTAACAGTGTGGGAAGCAGCACTTTTTGTGATGAATTTGGTCAGGCTGTGTGGGCTCTGAATTAACCCCATAAGGGGACTTAAGCCTTCTCAGACAGAAGAACTGATACTGAACTGCAAACAAGGCACAGAGCACTCTGCTAACTCTAGAACTAAAACATCTGATTCAGATTAGATACCTTCAGACATAGACAGAATTTCGGCTTCTGTCCTCTAATTTTGTATAAAGCTGCCTAAATTGCCCATGAAGTTCAGAGTCCTTTTAGAGGTTTAAGTCCTGTATTCTGGATTTTCACTTGATGTTTGTCTCCCGTGGAGGAATATTATTTACTCATCCCATCCAGGAAGGACTAATTCTTAGATGCATTAAAAGTGTCATACTTTCAATTCCTAGTCTACATATTATCCTCCCTAGTCTTTTATTTTGACCTTGCAGTGCCTTTCTAGGTCATGCCTTTTTTAGAGCAGCAATACAGGTGAACTTTCTTAATGCATGTGATTCACAGATAGARAAATAGCAGCTATCTGTAAAAGTCTTAGAAAGTTTTAATAGTTCTTATTGACCTTCTTGTGCCAGACATTATTAAGCAAATCATCTCCCYGATTCCTGTCCCACATACCACACATGAGATAAAGTACTGACCACACCTGCAGAGAGCTGCTGCTTGGGAGTCAGCCCTGCCTCTTTACTGCCTCATGAGCTCAGGCACAATTGTATGACCACTTATATTTTGTACTGAGGAATCAGGCAAGRGGTTACTGTAAATTCTCATGTGACTTGATTGGAGAATACAAACACTGAATTAAAAACCTTGGTTCAACAGATTTATCTAAAACATCCCTTCCAGGCTGAATAGGCTTGTTCTCTGTGTCACCATGAYGTAACTTGGAGACTGTTGAAATTCCTTAACTTAAAAAAAAAAAATTGCATGCTGACATTGACTTTGGAGCAATATTGTCCATCTCTGCACTGTTACCTTTCCTCAAAGAGAAGTCTTCTTTATGCAAGTTAGTGGAATAGGGAAATAAAAAAAAATTACCTTAGTTTCTCCTTTGACCTTGATTAGTTTCTCTATTCATTCTTTGTACCTTTGCTGAGTGGAATTGTTAGCCTTCCTCAAATAACTCAAAAACAAAGGTTGCTTCTTGGAATTTCTAAAGCCAAATATTATGCAAGTATCTAATTTAACTATTTGACTGAGGGTTAACTAGGTTAACATTGGATTGGCTTCAAATTCTAAATAGAGTAAGCAAAGTATTTCTGTGAAGGGCAAGGACTAATTCTCTACAGATTCAATAAAGTAGCTTCATGGTAGAGTCTACTCACTGGTAGAGTCTTACGTGCCTTTCAGAAGCTCTACTTTTATAGTAGGACTCTAAAATGGGCTCCATGTGTAAAGCCACGTGGTGTCTAGAAGCTTTGAGAAGTGGAAGAATGGCACTATTGATTGTAAACTTACAGGAACCCAGCCGGTTTAATGACAGTGAAGTGGATAAGATTGAGAAGGGTGAGGCATCCCCTAGCAGCAAAGATGTATTTGTGCAGAGAATGGGCTGCTTGTTTTGATTGTAAACATCAAAGGACCAGAAAGGAGTGAGGACTTTGCTCAGTCAGATCTGAGGATGCCTACAGCTGCCATCARGCAACATGACGTAACAAGGAAATGTAAAGACATTTCAAAGTTCTGCTGCTATCATGGTCATACAGTGGCCACCAGCTATTAGAAGTAAACGAAGGAGACTAAGAAATACATGTTCCAGTGCTGGGACATAGGTTACTATCTTCACAACAAAGAATTCCACCTTAGGAGATTCCTGGAGTTGTGCATGCTCTGTTTGAGTGTTACGGGGATAGAACTAGGAATCCGTAATATCAGCATTGTGTAAAAGTGATCTATCTCATGATGAGCGGGACTGTGCTGCTGCTGTAAGCGTAGCATACTGGGTTTACCTGCAAGACCCCATGTAGGCAAAACTGGCAAGAGTAGGGATTTGGCTTGAAAACCTTGGTTGATTGCAAGGAACTTAAACATTGAAACAGTCTGAAGGTGCCTCTGGTTACTGTTGCTAGAACCACTTAGAAAGTTTCAAGCCTTGCTTCAAATCTATTTATACATGTGCACTCAAAATTGTGTTAGTGAATATTTTGTTGTAAGTGTTCACCAATCATTTCATATCATCAAATAATTTCTGACAGATATGAATGCCACAATAAGAAGAATTGATCAGTTGACCAATATCTTGGCCCCAATGGCTGTTGGTCAGATAATGACATTTGGCTCTCCRATGATTGGCTGTGGATTCATTTCTGGCTGGAACCTGATGTCGATGTGTGTGGAATACCTGCTGCTCTGGAAGGTTTATCAGAAAACCCCTACTCTGGCTCGCAAATCTGCAAAAGTTGAAGCATCAGAACTGAAACAGCTGAATGTAAAGAAAGGTATTGAAAACACTGAACTAAGTATTCAAATTCACWGTATATTCATTGCATCAGTCAAGCCAAGTGTTAGCTTTTGTCTTCCACAGGCTCTGTTTTGAGGCTGTATAACTTTCTATTCATGGCTTGGGGATTTTAGTTTTGGGGTATAGATATCAGAGACTTTAATATAAGTAATGATGCTTTGTGCAGCTGTTTGAGGAATTCAGTAAAATGCAACCAAAGAACGAATTCTCTTCATTAACCCCTTAGTGTTAGTCTGCCCTGTAACTTAGGGCTGATCATAGGGAATGCTCTTACCCATCTATACTATAATTAATAAGCTGGACCAGCCCTTGGCTCTGTAGCATCTACAGCCTCTGTAAGACTACTCCTTGTTAACTTCTTTCTACTTAGACAAAGTACTAACAGGCTGTCAGGAGATTATAGAGTAGATGGTCACTTTTCTGTTCTGGCATGATGGAATGATTTTTACATGCTCCAGGTAATGTAAGAGAAAAACCAAGAAAAAATTCTTTYGGCTTTTAACTCTGCTTCCTTGGCCAAGCAGTACAAGTGGGATTTGCAGTGTAGATGACTATGGCTATTACTACAAGTAACCCTAAAACTGATATTAACATTACTTTAGGTAGCGTCAATATCAGAAATTAAAATTGTTTCAGAAGCAAACCTTTTGTTGTSAAGTATTGGAAATATCAGATACTTGAATATCAAACTTAAGTGCTTTCCCATTTTTTAAGGTAGCAGTATATGAATACTACTGAAATCKCATTATGGGCTCCCAGCTACAACAGATTGTGGTTTTTTGTTTGTGTTTTTGTTGTTTTTTATGAAATACTAAGAATTCATTAAAAGCAATTTAACAATCTTGTCTCAATATACTCTGAGTTAGAATGCCACTATTAAAAGTACTGAAGAGATGTGTCTTCCCAGCCATCAGATCCATTGTKGTAATAAGTCATCGAATAAACTAGGCTGATGGCAGTCCAGAATAGGGAGAACAAGGTGATGTAGGAGGCTCCATAGCTTTGGAACTGGCTCTTAAGTACCTCTGGAGAACGAAGCAYTGAGCAAGTGTCAATATTTAAGAAACACCTCTTTACTGCAGCAATATTSTGATTTCATTAGAAGACTTGTGTTTTTAAAAGTTGCTGAAATACTTGATGTGTCTCACTTGCTGTAGGTAGAGTTARTTTTGAGCTTAACAGTGTAGAAACACTGCTCAGGCATCCAGACATTTGTGGAATTTCTATCTTCCTTATTAGGATAAATACTGCTGTGAGTTTTTTGATTTTTGTTTGTGACCACTGGAAAGGCTTTTTTCCTTCATTACAGTGAAAATAGAATTGTAGAAATGCATGGTCTGAGGTTTTGAGTTTGGGTTTATTTTTTCAAGTCAAGCTTTGAAAGCTTTTGGCTGTGAACAGRCTTCAGCCTTGGTTCTTCTGCCATGACATGAGATATTGACAGAGGTTCAGGTATTCTCTGCTTTCTTTAATGAGTACTTTTAAACATACAAAGCTATGTTGAAATGCCAACTGACATTGGTATTCATTAAACAAATAATCATATAACTGGAGAATAGAGTCACAAGTCTAGAAGCAGGCAATGCTTTCTCCTATCACTGTTTAATTAAATAAATTGATAGGGATAAACTTTACTTGATCTGACTCCATAGGTAGGACTTAAGGRTATTTTAAACTATTTAATTTAGGTAATTACGAGACAGCTTGGCAGTGGAGTTTGACTGATGCACATCTGTAGTAGCGAACTTACTGCAAACAATTGTCTCTCACTTTACACTGTACACTTTGCAGGCAGGAGTGTATYTGACAGCTGCATTTCTGTTTACAGAGAGTGACATGAAACCCGCTGAAGGAGTGCAGTTAATTATGGAGAAAGATGTAAATGGCTTTGAGCCCCAAGAGCAGAAGGAAGTCGGCTGCGCTGCCCGGATTGCCGAACCTTTCATAACATTTCGGGATGGATGGGTTGCRTACTACAACCAGCCCGTGTTCCTCGCAGGCATGGGCCTTGCATTTCTCTATATGACTGTTCTGGGATTYGATTGTATCACTACAGGTTATGCATACACTCAGGGGCTGAGTGGCTCTGTGCTAAGCCTGCTCATGGGTGCCTCCGCAGTCACTGGAATCATGGGAACAGTGGCTTTCACTTGGCTTCGTCGCAAATGTGGCCTCATTCGCACGGGCCTTATTTCTGGAGTCGCTCAGTTTGCTTGTCTGATCTTATGTGTCATCTCTGTATTTATGCCTGGAAGTCCTATGGATTTGACTGTTTCCCCATTTGCTGACATCAGTGCCAGGCTGTTTGAAAATGAGCCATTGCCTACTATAGCATCTCCAGAATCTGAAATGATTTTTGCAACTGGAATGCCCATCTTGTCAAATGGGTCTATTACTCCTGCTAACAGTGACCCAGAGATGAGTCCTGAGCCCGTGCCTTTAGTCTCTGTTAGTCTCCTGTTTGCAGGAGTCATTGCTGCTAGAGTTGGTAAGTATTATGTCTCTATTACAATTTGGTCTATTACCTGCTTTTAATTCTCAACATTACAGTGTCTGTCAGCTAAATACAAATTGGAGTTTAGAACTAGAGGCTATGGTTGAAGGGTTACATCATGTTTCTGGGGCTAGTTGATTATACTGCACATAAAAATGAAATGATCCTCCAATAGTGCCACTAGGGTAAAGACTGCAGTACCAATTCCATGTATATCATATGTCACTAACAGGAGAAAAGTTACCACGTTTGGAGATGAATGTAACATGCTTTTTGGAAAGCTCATYTCTAAATTATTTCTGTTCACAACCAAGTGAGACCACTTGTTACTAGGAAACAGAACTAAACACAGCTGCTGTGAAAACCTTCAGATTTCACCGTTTGGGCAATTTTAATACATGAATTAATTTAGTTATCTTGGAGTTTAAAAGGGAAGCTTTGATTTGGATGACAGCTTAATTTTTTAGGGAATAAATRTTACCCTTTAGGGGATAAAGGTTTAGGGAATTTTAGGTTACCATAATATTAGTATCTGCCAACAGAATAAGCAGGTAAATATATAAATGTTGTGAACAGTAACTGTCATCTAYAGAATCTTTTTACTCAATTTCTGCAGTTTTTGCTGAATTCTGGAAGAATAAAATACCTGATTCATATATATTAAGTTTTGTGCAARATAAGCTTCTAAAGCTGAATCATGAACAGACTAAACCAGTATGGAGCTAAAGTCAACCATTTAAAATTGTGTATTTTGCGTAGTTTAAAACATGTTTTTTGATTTTTTATTTTTTTTTTGCATCTTGTGCAGAACTTTAGTGATTGCAGCTAGCATGAACACACTGTAAATAGCTGTAAGCCAGCTATTTAAACAAAGGATGAGCAAAACATTGACTTGATAGTCATGTTGAAACAGGATGTGACAGACAAGTTAATGTGTCAAGTTRTAGGTATTTCAGGAAATTTTTGTGAAAGGAGAGTGAATTGCTTTTGACTGTGAGTGTGAAATCAGTTCTAGTCGACAAGTGATTGTCTTATACTGTGCATTTTTGGCAGAAGTGAGTGCTTGGAAGGATGACTTGAATTGTGCCAGTGATGAAAGTTTGCCATGAGAAGCCCAGCTGTATGGATAATTGTTTCTTCTCTCCATAGGCCTTTGGTCCTTTGATTTGACTGTCACACAGTTACTCCAAGAAAACGTCGTGGAATCTGAAAGAGGCATCATAAATGGTGTCCAAAACTCCATGAATTATCTTCTTGATTTGCTGCACTTCATCATGGTCATCTTGGCCCCAAACCCTGAAGCTTTTGGCTTATTGGTGCTTATTTCTGTGTCTTTTGTTGCAATGGGCCACATAATGTACTTCAGATTTGCCCAGAAAAGTTTGGGAAAACAACTTTTTGTTTGTCACACTCCTGATCCCAAAGCAGCCCCTGACAGTTCACCACCTGGTAATACRTCTACTGTCTGAAAGGATCCACTTCTCTCACTAACTTTGCTTCACAAATATCATGGTTAAACACATATACTTTTGTGACCCTGTCTGAGGTGTTTCTCTAGAGTTGAATGCTTAACTTAGCTGTTTGGGGAAGCTGTCCCAAGAGACAAAATTCTTATTGCAGTGACCCTGTAAAAATGTTTCATGTTTAACAGAGGACAGCCTAGTTKGATCTCGACAGTTGCTGTATCAAAGGATCCCCACAGGTCATGTGTGTGGTGTTTGATCACAAAAATACTGGTCAAGTTCCATTGCTGACCCCCACAGTGATACTGTTAAGTGGTTATACATACTCAGCTTACTCATGAATTCTGAATTCTTGTATTCATTGAGTAAAATCAGGTTCTGTTATTTTTTTTTAAGTTACTTTAGAATAACTTTTTATACAGTGTTTTGTTGCTTGGAGTTKTCTCCAATATTTCTTTACCATGAACAGTTCTGCTCACTTGTCTTCTTAAACTGGTATAAACATCCTCCATAAATATGGGACTTTGATGCTTGTGGGTTCCTTCTAACTCACAATATTCAATGATTCTTTTTGGATGCTTCAGGTGGACTAGATTTTTTTCCCCAAAACCTTTATAGAATTTTATGTTTTGGTTTAACTTTATGGAAACACCTTTGCAGGTTTTTTGCATGTTTCCTTACAATTTAGACAAATATTAGGTACAAGATATTGTATTACACTTTTGTTGCACTTCATAGAGTAGAACAGCRTCATTTAGCAGAAGCTATTGATGTAATATTACAAAGCATGGCTTTTTAATTGCAAGTGGCAGGTTTGCTCAGGTTTGATGTAGCAGAAAGTGCTAAGGTCAGGAGTACTGGTACAGAAAGATAAAYTCTAGTGCTTACTTAGTTTTTGCCTCAGAGCACAAGCAGCTTTAGTTAATTTTCCAATATATCAGGCTTTAATAGGGTTTCTGAAAACAATTGCATTTGAAAATAGTTAATATTTTATGCAAAAGGTGGATTACTTGCATTTATCTCATGTGTTTGTGAATTTTGACTTTGTTCTAAAATACCGCTAAACCAATGAGATGGTGGACTGAGAGGCCCTCTAAAGCAACTTCAAAACAATGAAAATGATGCATCCCTCTGTTCAATAGTTCTTGCCCCTTTTTTGTTTTGTTTTTGTTTTTTTTTTACCCTGCATGTGTACTAACACAGTACTTCCATAGTCATTAACCCTATGTGCACTTTTGTGGAAACTACGCACTTTTGCTTTCCCAGTAGAGTTGAACCTGGTGGTGTTCTGAGTTTTCCYATGGCTTGGCAGTCTGACTTCTAAATTTAAATATTGGGAAAATGTTTGTTTGCAAAAGAAGTAGTATGTGAAAACATAATGTTAGCAACTTGTGAGAAGTACCCTCTGTAACTTTTAAAGGTTTTTTTTTTTAAATTTTAGGTACTGTCCTTCACAGTCATGTATATTGCCAGACTTCAGCCCTGGAATGCAAGTGTTGAAACTTAACTCCATTGAAACTAAAGGCGTTACACCAGGGCTGAATCCAGGCCAGTCATTACAAATTTTGTACCAATTACAGTAACTATCAAAGAATGTAAAGAACCTCTAGTGGCTTTTGTCTCAGACACAATGTTTTGTAGGAGGAGTGAAATAGAATGAATGGGAATCYGATGTACAGCCAATGGACTTGTTGTCCATGGTTTTCAATAAATGGGTGTAACAATTTTTCTTCTCTAATGGACCAAACCTAATACTTACTCTATGTTGCTGAAAGTTTCTCAGGGATGTTTTCACTAGGTTTTTAAATGTTTATACTTCAACCAAGCATTTGAATTTTGTTTTGATAYAATAAAGTAAAATATGTTATTTAGAGTAGGTTTAAAATTTGTGACTCAATCCTGACTGTAACTTAAGGAAAAGGGAATTTTGCCATCAGCAGGATTTGTCAGAAGACAAATAAAATAAGCTTATATCTAGATTTGTAGAATAAATATGTCCAAAGGATAGCCTTATGTGGTATAYGGTAAGTACACTAGTAAATAAAAGAATTCTGATTTGCCAAATATGTTTTCTTATGTGTATCTAATTTAAGTTGGGACCAGATTTTAATATTGTTAAATATAAATAAAGGTAGTCCAGATGTCAGTGAATGCCTCTATACTGCACTTTGAAAAACATCTGAATGCCACTGTATATCTTGGACTCATTGGCCATCAGGGAAACAAAGCTGAAAATGCAGGTTTCTTTTGTGCTGTTTWTAGTCCACAGAACCCAGGGTGCCTAAAACTTTATGCTGTAGCACTAAGCACCAGACATCCAAGAGCAGCTGTCTTCCTGAAGTCTAGAGAGCTCCAAAACCACAAAAAATAGAGTTGGGAGCATGCCATGTTCCTGTCTGTTCCCAAAGGCTGTTTTTTTCCTTTTCCCAAGAACAATTTAGTCTTGTTTAATTTGAGCAGCAATTGGTTTCATAAATAGTTCTACTACATAGTGCAGTACTATTAGGAGGGGACTGGAGCTTTGTTTTGATTTTTGTAAGCATACTGCTATTAGGATGCATATGTGCATATCACAGCTGGAAGGCAAGACAATCCTAAAATAAAGAAGTGAATGCTAGTTTAAGAGGAATAAGGAGGTGTAAATTGGAAAACTTGTGTGTATTAGTCTCAGTTGGATGTCAAAAAATGTATGCTGCTTGAGCACAGCCCATTTGTGTGAGAGTCCAGGATGTGTGCAGACACCTGTACTCGSAAGTGCTTTGAAGCAGTGTGGAGCCTAAAGTCTTACTTAGCAGGACTTTGATTAAGTAAGCATTTTTGGCCTTGTATTTATTTATTTTTTTTTTAAAAAAGTCCAAATTGGATGAAAACTGTCCTTAAAAATGTACGCACTAGAAATCAATCTTACCAGAATATTTTATTATACAACCTTATGCTGGACATAGTATTGATTTATGTATTACTGTTGTTAAAGCTAATTAATAAATTTGCATAAAAACTTATTTGTSCTGTATTTTTCAGTTTTTTGTTGTCTTGGTATGCTACACTTAGCATGGATTTTGTGCAGAAAGCTTTTTTGTATGATGGGTTGGAGCAGCCATGAAGCAGAAACATAGCATTGAGGAGGAAGCAAATGACAAGTTTAGTCAAGATCTTTCAATGACCCTGTAACCCTTTGGTGAATTGGTTTTTATTTACCATCCACAGTGGTAAGTTAAGACAATAGATGAAGGTAAAGTTGTGATCTTGCGTCCTCAGCCTGGGTCTTGCATAAGTGATAGAACAGTTTTGTGTCTTGGCCTGCTGAGCAACAGAAAKCAAATGATTTTGCCTTCCCATGTATCTTTACCATACTGAATTTGAGATGATGGCCTTCTGTAGCAGCAACCTCTAGGTGAGAACCGTAGGCATACTAGTGATCACAAGAAATGTACTTTTAGTAGCCAAGTACTTTTCAACTCTAAACCCAGAATATTTTATATAGGACTGCTTCTGCCTTTGTAGTATTTAGGTTACATTTGCACAAAGAATTCATCTTTGGAAGGATGTTGCATTAGTTCAGTAGGAGTTCTCTGAACTGATTCCTCTTTGAACTAAGATTTTCCTAAAAACAGACCTTTATGCTTTGTCCCCAGGTGTGTAATTATTTGCTTTCTTCATTGGCACTTACAAATTAAGACAAATATTAGAATACTGACTTGAAAATGTAAGTACACATCCATCTCTAAATATAAAAATACAAAGAAAAAGATTTGTGAAKGGTACTTTCTACTTAATAGGTAGTGAACACTTCTTTAAACTGAAGAAGTCCCATCACAATTTACTATATGATGGTTTAATTCCCTGTGGAATTGAGTGCTCGGCAGTCAAAGATAGAATTATTTGAGATATCTGCTGTTTTTTTGCTTGTTTCACTACTTGGCTTGCTAGATAGTTGAGATATCAGCCCTGCTTATGGAGGGCAAGGTATATTCTGTATTGTATTCATCTCCTCTGAAATATGTAATTGCTTTTGTTTTCAAAAGCATTTTCAGAAAATGAGCACTGGTAATGGGGATTGAAAGCTGAATCTTGTTAAAGGAAAAAKAGTGAACTCAGACCCTTCACTTTAAACTATTTTATTTCTTTAATGAGAAATCTCTCTTATAAATTCCAAAGAAGTGAGTAGGTTCACCTCCAATAGCTTTAAAATCCTACMGTCACTGCTGTATTTGCTTCTATAAAGTACACGGTGTATGTCTAGGAATCAGAGTAAAGACTGTTTRTGCTAGGAAGAGTGCAACTAATAGATGCAGCTTTCTAAATCTAACTCTGTGGAGGTGGTAATGCTTTTCTCTCTGTCTCAAGATTGGCCTACTTTCAGGTTCTCCAGGAATATATTGTGCCATACACTGCATTCATGTCTTTCTCAAGTACTTAATACTAGAAAAATTACTACGAAGTGTTAGAGTAATAGAGCTGTTTTTTTTTTTTTTTCTGGCCCTCTGTAGTTACACATTCTCTTTCCCGCTTGTGGGTGCTTTAACTGCATGGTGTAATAAAAAGTATTTTATTCCTGGAGTAAGACTATGCCTTTAGCTTCTGCTTTAAAAAGACACTGTTTTGCCCCTCTGAGGGACCAAAAAAACTGAACAAGGGTGTTTGCTTAAAGGCTTGCAGAGAGCATGGACAAAGTGCATGCTGCTCAATAATGCTTTTTCAAATACTTCAGCTTGTCTTTGTGTGGGTCAATATTTCTTTCTAGTTAAACTTTATTGTRTTTGGTCACAAGGAAAGCATGTAACTGTGTGTGCTTTCTACTCTTGGTACAGAGTGATGGAGCAATCTCTTTTCACGCATGCAGAGTTAAGAGTTCTTAATCTTTGTAAAATGCAGGGGAAGTTCTAAATTTACATTTAGAAAATCTGAGAACCTTTGGCAGGTAAGGAAAAGAGAATGTACAGTAGCTGCCTAAGCATAGCTCATTAAGATYAAAACCCCCCACGCACAACAGCAAAACACATGTTAAAGCTGTACAGAGTGGCTCAGAAAACACCCCAACTTCAGTTTAACGGCTCCATGGTAAGTCATTGTCCACCTCAATCAGGAGATACCCTATTACATTGTCTATCTGCATCCCTATGACAGCATACTTGAGTCTGAAACGCTGCCCTTCTCGTACAGCATAACCACCGCAGTGTGGTTTACTCTCTCTGCGTGTCCTTGGGCTGGTCACATTCCCAGCTGCGATAAACTGTAGCTTCCACCCGTGTTGTGTAATCCTCTGTTCCCCGAGGTGGTCCCGCAGCGCTGGCCCTGCCCTGGTGTATCAGCAGAGCAAAGCAGAGCAAAGCAGAGCCGGTGTTGTGCCTGACCCTCGCAGTGCCACGTGTGCGGGGGGCCCGTGAGCGCTGCAGGCAGGGGATGAGCCAGCTGAAGGACAAACAGACCTGGYAGCTCTATGCTCTGCCAAAGACCTTGGGCAACAGAAACAGTTCCAGCCTTCTCCTCTACCCACCTGCTGCAGTCAAACTTGGGAGACCTTTCTCTTTCATCATATTTAGCTGGAATTAACCAAGGGGTTCAAAAGCTGTTTGTCAGGAAGTGAAGGAGGTGGCAGAGAGCAGTGTGATTGAGTAAGTTCTTAGAAAAAAAGTGTGTAAAAGTGTCTAAGTGTCCTTAGAAAAAAAGTGGGTAAAAATATGTCATGTATGTAACGTCAATATGTCTGTTGCTAACAGCACACCGTAACTGATGAAGTAGTCTAGAAACAAAAAAAGATGAAATTCAGTGCAAGGCACTACATTTAGGCACAACCGACTCCTCAAATACTGGATAGGAATGCTTATCCATTGTTCTAGAAGGTAACCCTGAGTTTATCGCATAACAAAGAGAAAACATAGGTAATGTGAAAAAAATAAACGGAAATGGGATCTATGACATGTCTGCTTCATTAATTGAATAATAYAGGCCCCTGTTCTCTTTGGATTTGAAAAAAAAAAAAATGGAGACTTGCATTCAATTTTCCCTTTGTATCTGTCTTGAACAGATAGAGATAGCAGTGATAACCAGAGAGAAGACAGAATAGTCCAGTTAGAGCACTAGGAGTGCTGAGTGAAGTGCTCTAGGGAACCCTGCTTGGGCAGGGAGGCTGGACTAAATGACATCCAGGGATCCCTTCCGACCTCCCCCAGTCTGTAATTCTGTGAAATGAGTGGAAGAATTCAGGTGATTTAGAGACTGAGGTGATATGCTAACCATACCTGCCTGTGTAAAAGGGGAAGGAAATAAGGCTTGAGAAGACAAGCATTAGCCAAGTCAGATTACAGCATACTTGAAACCCTGCAAGTTGTGGGGTTTCCAGTCTTGAATTTTCAACCGTTTTTTCAAGCTCTGTTTTTCTCCAATTGCATGTGATGCATTTCTGCAGTTCTTTCAGTTCGGTGTTGCCTCTAGAACCACTACAGAGCCAGTGGAATAGTCTTACCGTTTGCCTTCAGTTTATAAGCAGTCTCTGGA